TTGTCTATTTGTGGGACTCCTAGCAGTGGGAAGAGTGCCTATCCCTCATGCTTGAGCTGTCTTTTGGTAACCTATTCCTCATACTGGGTTGCCTTGCACAGTCTTAATACAAAAGAAGAAGCTTAGACTTATCTCAGCTTGATATGCCATACTTTGTTGACAGCCATGGACAGCCTGACCTTTTCCTAACAGAAACAGAGGAGTGGATGGGGCAAGGCAGGCCAGAGGGAAGGGTATGGGAAGGAGAGGATGGAGGGCAACTGTGGGTGGAATGTAAATAAATGAACAAATAATTTTAAAAATATAAATTTTAAATCATAATGTTGAGCTACTAATGGGTCACAGCAAGTCAATTATTACTATTTACACACCTATTATAAACATACACACACACACACACACACACACACATACAAATTTATATGACATCATATCTTAAAATAAAATTCAATGAGATTATAGTTACTGAATATTAATCTCATAAGTTTTAATGATCTTAAAAGATCATTAAAAGAATTCTCTCAAAGAATTAAGAAAAAATATCACCTTAAATTGGGGAAAAGACCATTCACCCTGATTATCTTAGCATTATGGCAGACATGAAGATGAATGATCTTAAAAGATCATTCACTGTTAAGATGAATCTGCTTGTAATCTTTTATTTCTGGCAAGGTTATTATCACCTGTATAGAATAATTCTAGCTTCTTTGTATGAATATATTTACACAAATACACATATACTTATGTACTTCTAAATGTGCTACTTTATGAAGCTTCTAAAGTAGTGTATTTCCATGTGACTGTTTTATCCATTCTTAATGATGGTGGTTGTAAAGCCTACAGGCCCAGGAGTGAACCTACTGCTATTAATTTGGTAAATGGAAACTATCAAAGTGTCCATTAATTCATATTACTGCACCTATTAATTAGTGTAACTCTCCGACCTTATCAGATAAGTTTCTTAGTTCAGTGGATAAATGGTGAGATATTTTCGTTGAGTGCTCAGCTACAAATGAGATTTTTATACCACACCCACTTGTCTCAAGACTCAGGAATAGATAATGCACTAAAAATTGTAAAAACCAGTGGAGGAGGTAGACTTGTGCAAAATATTATCCTTAAGACATAACAGGACCTCTGCACTGATGAATTTACAGCTGTTGTGTTTGCATTCAGAAGATTGGTATGAAAGGGGGATAGATTCACAGGTCCCCAGTCTTAGTTGAGGAACTATTGACAACTGATGGCTTCTGGTGAAGAGAATCAGTTTTCTTTAAGGGTGTAGCTCTTGGGATGACTACGGACATCCATCAGTAGCCTCAAACTCATGAATACATGGTCAGCACAAATTAGACATTTAAGTCCAGAGAGGGTGTCATGGATCTAAGAGAAGTTTCATGGATTACTGAGAGATAAATATGATCAAAATACATTCCATGCATTTATGAAACTCTCAAAGAATTAAGAAAAATAACACTTTAAATTGGGGAAAAGACCATTCACCCTGATTATCTTAGCATTATGGCAGACATGAAGAGATTATTAAAATTACTCAAATTAATAAATGTAATACATTGCATAAGTTTGCTTAAAGATAGAAATTACAAGATCATCTCAATGTATGCCAAAAAAGCTTTGGATGAGTCCAATATTCTTTTATTATGAATGTTTTATACAGAACTGGAGAAAAATGCCTCAACATAATGAAGGTTTTTACATGACACAGCCATAGCAAATATCATCCCATTACAATCATCAACAAGTGTGTGATTTTCTCAGTCCCCATCTCTATTTAATGCAGTGCTCCAAAGTGATAGACAAGGCATAGAAATAGAAAATGATATAAAGAGAGAAATAATTTGAAAATTGTGTTTTTAGATGACATGATGTTTGACATAAGTTATTCTGAAGATTCTATTAGAAAATTTCTAGAACTGACCATCACTTTGAACAAAGCAGCAAGGAAATTATAAGAAGAAAAAAACAAATGTCCTTTCCATAAACCAATGACAAACATATTGAAGAAGGAATAAGAAAATCAATGCCATTCCTAATAGTCTAAAAAATATTTAACAGTAAACCTAGACGTATTATAACACCTCTAATTAGAAGTATTTAAAATCCTGAAGACAGAATATAAGAAGACAGTAGGAAATGGAAAAAAAATATGTACTCAGAGACTGACAAAGAAGCCAAAACTATACAATGAAAAATGAAAGCATCTTCAAAAAATGGTGCTGCCATAACTGGATATCAACATGTAGAAGATTGCAAATAGATCCATATCTATCACCATGCACAAAACTCAAGTCCAAGTGGATCAAAGACCTCAATTATACTAAACCTGATAGAAAAGAAAGTAGGAGGTAGTCTTGAATACATTGGCACAGGAGACTATCACTTAAAAACAATACTAGTATCACAGACACTGAGAGCAGCAATTAATAATGGGACCTTCTGAAACTGAGAAGCTTCTGTAAGGCAAAGAACATGGTCAATAAAACAAAACGACAGCCTACAGAATGAGAAAAGATCTTCAACAACCCCACATCTGACAGAGAGCTGATCTCCAAAGTATATAAAGAACTCAAGAAACTAGACATCAAAATATTGAACAATCCAATTAAAAAAATTGGCTACAGAGCTAAACAGAGCATTGTCAAAAGAAGAATCTCAAATGGCTGAAAGACATTTAAGAAATTGCTCAACTTCCTTAGTCACCAGGGAAATGCAAATCAAAATGACTCTGAGATACCCATCTTGCACCTGTCAGAATGGCTAAGATTAAATATACTGATAATAACTTATGTTGGAGAGGATGTGAAACAAGGTGAACACTCCTCCAATATTGGTGGGAGTGCAAACTTGCACGGCCACTTTGGAAATTAGTATGGCAGCTTCTCAGAAAATTGGGAATCAATCTTCCTCAAGACCCAGGTTAGGCATATACCCAAAGGATGCTCAATCATACTACAAGAACACACAATCAACTATGTTCATAGCAGCATTATTCATAATAGTGAGAACCTGAAAACAACCTAGATACCCCTCAACTGAAGAATGGATTAAGAAAATGTGGTACATATATACAATGGAGTACTACTTAGCAATAAAAAAAATGACATCATGAAATTTGCAGGCAAATGTATGGAACTAGAAAATATCATCCTGAGTGAGGTAATCCAGACTCAGAAGGACAATTATCACTCATAAGTAGATAATAGATATAAAGCAAAGGATAACCAGACTATAATGCACAGATCCAGAGAAACTAGCCTACAAGGAGGACCCTAAAAGAGATGCATAGATCACCCTGGGAAGGGAAAATACACGAGAGCTCTAGGAGTAAACTGGGAATGGAGGGGGGGGGTAATGGAGGGTAGAGAATGGGAGCTGAGAATATAAGGGAATGGAATGGTTGAACTGGAACAGGGATGGAATGGGAGAGCAATGAAAGAGATACCATGATAGAGGGAGACATCATGGGGATAGGTAGAAACTGGGTGCTAGGGAAGTTCCCAGAAACCTACAAGTATGACCCCAGCTTAGACTACTAGCAATAGTGAAGAGGTTTCCAGAACTGGCTTACCCCATTAATCAGATTGGTGAATACCCCAACTGTAGTCATGCAGCCTTTCTCCAGTAACTGATGAAAGCAGATGCAGAGATCCACAGCCAAACACCAGGCTGAGCTCCAGGAGTCCAGTCAAAAAGAGAGAAGGGGGATTCTATGAACAAGGGTCATCAAGATCATGATGGGGATATCTTCAAAGACAACCAAACCATACTAGTGGGAACTCATGAAATTTATAACAACACCTATGGAAACTCCATGGTACTGGACTAGGTCCTCTGCATAAGCAAGACAGTTGTGTAGTTTGATCTGCTTAAGAGGCCCCCTGGCAGTAGGATCAGGATCCATCGTGGTGTGTGAGCTGGCTTTTTGGAGCCCACTACCTCTAGTAGGACACCTGGCACAGCCTTGAGGCTGAAGGAGGGGCTTGGATCTGCTCTACTGAATGTAGCAGGCTCTACTGACTCCCCATGAGAGACCTTACTTTCTTGTAGGAGAGAATGGGGCATGGGTTGCAATGGGAAGACTGGAGGAGTTGGGGGAGGGAAGAGGAGGTTATGTGATTAGTATGTACAATGAATAAAAATCTTCTTAATTAAAAAAAAAAAGAAAAACTATTCTACCAGTTTAAAGATTCAAACCAACAGCAATCAAAATATTTGTGTCATTTTTATAGAAATACAATTTCTCTGAAATTCATAAAGAAACAAAAAAAGACTACAAATAATCAAAGTAATCCTGAACACAATAAAAGTGCTAGAGAAATTACCAGTCTGATCTCAAATAACAGTACAGAACCAAAGTAACAAAGGCAACAGAATACTGTTTTGAAGGCTATTCTGCCCAGTGCACTCCTTTCTTTTGAAGACCATTAGACCCAGTCACTAGTTAAAGATGAATGTATTCCATTTATGCAACTGAATAGTCGAAATGAAGCACTTTTGTAAATAGAGAAACATCTATGACTTGAGACAGACATGGATAAAACAAGGACAGTCAGTTCATTCTTTCTGAATTTATGAGTGTAGATTGTGAATTAATAACTAAAGGAGAGAGGGATTGAAGAATTAAGAATTAAAATATAGTGAGTGAAAAATATTTATTGCAATAATTAAATATGATGATATTCAAAAGTATAGGATATTGTGTACATGATCACAACTGAAAACCACGCAATAAAACAAAATATATTAAAATATTCAATGTATATACAATTCTTCTAATGTTGGAACATATTTATAGTTATAGTAATGACATTGTATACCAACAGTTTTAACATTCAGTAACAGAGAGTCTATTTCTGCTTTGTTGATAAACATTTTTTAAAATGTGAGTATTATTAACTAAAATCAGGAGTCTTTTCCTTTAACTTCTGATCATAAATATATTTACTTACAATGAACCTTATTTTTAGGGTAATTCAACATTAAAAATGACATTTTTTCATAAACCGATTTCTCTCAAAGAACTTTTTCATTGCTCCTTTCACATCTTTGTTCCTCAGACTATAGATGATGAGATTAAGCATGGGAATAACAATGGTATAAAATGTGGACACAATCATGTCATACTCTAAGACATAGTTGGAACTAGGTCTTACATACATGAATATGATGGTTCCATGATAGATGGACACATCAGTGAGGTGAGCTCCACATGTAGAGAACATTTTCCTTCTCCCTTTACTAGACTGTATCTTGAGAATGACAAAGAGAATGAAACCATAGGAAACAAGGACGATCAGGATAGTGATGATTTCAACAATGCCCACATAGTAGAGGAGAAGAAGCTGATTGATGTGGGTGTCAGAACAAGAAATAGCCAGGAGAGGAGGAACATCACAGAAGACATGCTTAATTTCATTGGATCCACCAAAGGACAGACTGAAAGTGGCTTTTGTGTGGACAGAACCATTTATAATACCTCCAACATAAGAAACAATGATGAGTGGTAGGTAAACTCTGGGCGACATGCTCACTGCATATAGAAGTGGGTTGTAGATGGCTACATAATGGTCGTAAGCCATTGCTGCCAAGACAAAGCATTCTGTGTTCCCCAAAGCAACAAAAAGGAGCATCTGTGTTACATATCCAGGATATGAGATGGATTTATCATTTGAAAGGAAATTGACCAACATCTTTGGTGTGACAACTGTTGAATAACAGCCATCTAATATTGATAAAGCACTTGGAAAATAGTACATGGGATTGTGGAGCATGAAATCCCAATTACCAGCAAAACTAATCCCAAATTACCTATCAGAGTAAAAACATAAATTGCCAGAAATAGGAAGACTTGCAGGTTCTCATTATTTGTGAAGCCTGTTAGTATAAACTCTGTGACCTCAGTCACATTGCTCTCCTGACCATAGTTATCAGATGGAATCCTTGACATTTCTCTTTTGTTATTAGTTTACAAAGGCAAAATCCTGTGAAAACTGTGTCTATCCAATCATATTCTCATGTTTGTGTTTGGATAGACATCATGGAGATTTTGTTCTTGGCGGCAGCAACTGCAATGAAGGAGTTGAGTCTGAGGAGATTAATTACCCTGTTTAAGTAAGTTAAAGAAATTATTTTTGTATTTTGGCTAAGTTCATGTTCCTAAAATCATCTAATACAATACTTAGTGTTATTTTATTTATTGCTAGACTTTTCTTTTCCACCTTTCTTATTACATTTTGTTCAAATTCAGAAATCCAGAAGATATCTTTAGATTCACACAAGATTCAATGAATGATTTGCCTTAATGATTTCATCTTAGCATTGGGATGAATGACACAAAATGAGACTGAATTGAATCTGATCAAGAGAATATGAATGTCTTTTAGTTAATATTATCAAAACACTTGAGAATAAGATGCATTAGTCTTATATTGCAAACTCATTAGGGCCACATTTTTCACATTTTTTTTTGTTTGTTTGTTTTTGGTTTTTCGAGACAGGGTTTCTCTGTGTAGCTTTGCGCCTTTCCTGGAACTCACTTGGTAGTCCAGGCTGGCCTCGAACTCACAGAGATCCACCTGCCTCTGCCTCCCGAGTGCTGGGATTAAAGGTGTGTGCCACCACCGCCCGGCAAGGGCCACATTTTTAAGCAAAGCATTTTGATTCCTATCATTTGATAATTATTTCATTCTATTAGGACATAAGTCACAATGATCAATAATAGAATATAAGCATTTCTGGATATTATGTGTACCTCACCTGAAAATTAAATCAGATTCAATGATATTTTTAAAATTTATTCTGATTTTTGTTTTTCTCTTTTCCTATTTAAAACAAGCATTTTAACATACTCATGTGTGATTTCTGTTGTTTTTATTCTTTAAATTCTATACTTTGTCATTTTATTTTAATTTATTGAGTAAGGTCCTCATGTAGGCCAAATAGTTCTGACTAAATATGTAGTCAAGGAAGACACCAAACACCCGTTTCCACCTCTGAAGAGTTGGAATTACAAGCATGTGCCACCATGTCTGATTGTCTGTGATGCTGTGTCAAACTCAGGGTTTTATATTTGTTAAACAAGGACTTGACATACTGAGCCACACCTATAACACTGATTTTTTTCTAACTTTATTATACAATTAACAGAAATCTCAATTAAAATGACCAATATACATGCAAAGTGGATATATTATGCGGTATATAGGTTTCAGAAATAATTCATGGTCTTTCTCTGAATAGGTAAGAGTTCTCATGCAATGAATAAAATCCTCAAATTTAAATACCATATTGCAATACCCGATATAGTTATTACAGAAGTTGGTGCCCAAAGAAAGGCATCAAGATAGACCACATTTGTGCCAATAGGGAAAGCCTTCACTATATAATTTACTGACGATGTTTAATGCATAATCATGAGAACTGGTAGTTTAGGCAACTGGGTTTTTTTTTTTTTTGTGGTTACATCTACCTAATATCCCTAGAGAGATGTTAGAAATATAAATAAATCTCTAAGACAAAAGTGAAATCAGTTGCTCAGCTCTCTGTAAGAAAGCATTATTTAATAATATAGAAATTCAGAGTTAACAAAGAAAGGTACATTGATAGCAAGGAACACCTTACTAAATATGCTAGGAGAGGTGATATTTTGTGTGTGTACTGTCTTCTGAGATTCATGGGACAATTTGTAAAATACATCCTTCAGCATTGATGAGAAAACTGAGATGAAGCTAGACAATAAATCTGACCAACTCACAGTTATTACCAAACAGCATTTGTGCCAAGGCCTTTCAGTGTCCATACTGAAAGCTATTTCCAAATAACTCAGTGTTTTGTCAAAATTCAGAAATCATTATATCCCAGAAACAACAGAAAATCAAGTTTTACTATATTTTGCTTCTTTTACAAAGCAACTAAGCTTAATTAGACATGAAATTAAAAATCAAGCGGTGGTGGCGCACGCCTTTAATCCCAGCACTCGGGAGGCAGAGGCAGGCGGATCTCTGTGAGTTGGAGGCCAGCCTGGGCTACCAAGTGAGTTCCAGGAAAGGCGCAAAGCTACACAGAGAAACCCTGTCTCGAAAAACAAAACATAAAACAAACAAACAAACAAAAAATCAAACTAATACCCCCCCAAAAAAAAATAAACCTGAATTGACCATTGCATCAATGTCTTAAAGTGAAGAAGTAGATTTAAAATTCATTAAAATTCTTTAATTTCAACAAAACCTACCTAAATTAGATTAATGGTTGGTAGAAATTTTATGTTTTTCTACATTCTATTTGTTTCAAATTGTGGATCAGCCCCGTAATTTGACTGCTCTGAATCTGAATTTCTCAATCAAAAAAATCTAAATTAATAACTCTTTTGACCTATGTCAACAGAAAATCCTCCCTATTCTCTCTGGGAGACAAGGATTTCATCTGTCAAATAACACTGTGCTAAGCGGAATCCCATCCTACAGTTACATATTAAGGCAAATTCTTTAGTTTAAAAATCTAAAAATAGGACTGCTAAATATTTCACAAAATAGATTTCCTCTTATATTTGGAAATGGATTTTCAATCAGAGAAGATAGGCTGTGAACATCAGTCTTTTTCCTTCTCACATCAGGCCCTTGGGCACTTCTTAAAGTACACAGGATACCCCAGGGAGAGAACATGCTGATTCTCTATGGGACAGTAAGTACACAGGTGATTTTGAGTTTTTCAAAGTAATCAGGGAGGCGGGGGGTCATTTAAACAATGAATTGCTAGATAAAGAAATGAATCAGAAATGGTTATTATGAAGTGATATTTCATCATGGAGAGATAGGTATATGATTCTAATTAAATACAATCAATCAGAGAAGAGTAACAGTTCCAAAAGTAACTAAGTACTTGGATATATTCTTTGAAATTCAGTTTGCTTTTTTGGAAATTTAACCAATTTTATGAGTCGAATATTTTGGATATATGTTCATTTTAAGATAACAGGTAATAATAGATTGTGGTCAAATTTCATAGGCATCCAATAATGACTACTAACAAATTTCACTTAATGTTTAATGTGCTATAACTCAAAGTGCCGTAAGAGATGATACAGATTAATAAATGTTGAATGGAAGAGTTCACATATGCATTTTCATCATTAATGTATAAATTCATGAACTTGATATTTTAACAAATAGTTAGGCCACTGTATATACATTGTTCTAGTATGTTATTGTATTAGTGATTTGTGCAATTTATTTTCAATCACATTATTTCTATAAGGTCATTTCTTATCTTTGGTCTACTATGCACTGATCTACATAATAATGCAAATTTCATTTAAATGTTGTGGAAAAAATGTAGATGTCTATGGAATAAACACATAGTGATGGAAAATATTTAGAAGACACAGGTCTGATAAAGGACTGCCATTGAAAACATCCAATAACTCTTGAATCTCAGCAAGATGGAAACAGGGGGGTTGATTGAATTTTAAGTCAAAACAATTCACAGAAATCCCATTAGAGGGAGTAGAACAAATGAGTTTATGCAACTGTAATCCAATCTTAGTTCATTAAGGGATTAAAAATGTAAAGAGGGAGACCCTTACATACCTAATACAATGCCAGAATCTAAAACACCAAGAACATCAAATCACAAGTATGTATGAAAAAATAATTTTCATTAATTATCAGTGGGAATGGATAATATATAACCATTTAGGAAGGTACACTGGCAATTCCTAAACTCCTTTTTTCTTGGATTATTGGCATTTATTTTTATTTTAAGACATTTTGTTAAATATTTGTTTAATCAATAGATCATCATTTGATTCCTATTTGCCTTAGCTTATGGTCTGATTTTGGGAAAATTTAGAAATCTTTGTTTATATTCATTTTTTTGCACCTGAGATATCATCCCATGAGATTTAAACACACCCCTGAGGTTACTCTACTTGTAAATATCATGACTATCAATATTCACAGCAGATTTAATACTAACCAAAATAATCTATTTTGTTTCATGTTTAAGAGATACTTTCATTGATAATCACCTCAAATAATTACTTTGTTTCAGTTTATCCCTGAGCATTTTGGAGGAGTTATGAGTGGAAATTCTTTCTTGGTCTCTATTTGATGATTGTGATAACACACAGCAAATTTATTAATTTCTGTAGACTACTTTTGCACTGTGTTCCTTTTCTTGTACATTTTCTTGTCTAATTTTGGTGACCTGTCTTGGTCTCTTTCCTGATTGTTTGGACTATGGATACTAGTATTATTATATATTATACTATATCATATCATATCATATCATATCATATCATATCATATCATATCCTGTATCAAGCCGAGCATGGTAGCTCATGCCTTTAATCCCTGGGGAAGAGGCAGATGAATCTCTGTGAGTTCAAGGCCAGCCTGGTCTACAAAGTGAGTTCCAGGACAGGCTTCAAAAGCTACACAGAGAAACCCTGTCTTGAAAAACCAAAAAAAAAAAAAAAGTTGTATATAATGTATCATATTATACACTATGCATATATATTATAATACATACTATATTATTGTAAACTCTGCTATTTAGTGTAGTATGTGCTATTATTATGTGCTATATAGTAGTATATGCTAATATTATGTGTAATACCAGTATACTACTAGTATTACATGGAATAAAAATGCTGAAGTTAGATATATTTAAGTTATAGCCAACTTTACAATACTTTAACCACTCATTCACTCATTGTGTTAGCTGTTTAACCTGGAAATATTGTTCCTTACTTTGAAGCATATTTTTTCAATACCAAATTTGTTTTTTAATCAGTGAAGAAATGCTTAATTTTACCCAATGTTTGTTTGTCACCCACTGAAATTTCCATACAGTTTTTGCCCTTTATCTTTGTGCTATGTTTTATCTATGATCTCTGTTGGCTAGTTTATATGGAATCATACTAGAATCCTAGGATGACTCAAACTTGAT